GAATTTGTCTGTAGTTGACTTTCGTTTGAATGTGATTTTATTACCCTTTTTTTATAATTATTTCCAAAATATATTTTTTTATCGCTTGGAGCGCACGAAAGGATATCCCTATAATGTTCGAAGAACATCGTGCGTTCCTAGGGAGGATAGGGACAGGAGGTAGGTATTGAAATTTTTTTTGAACTTCTGGAGATTATATTATGTTGTTGGGAATACCTCCTCAGGCAATGAATTCCAGAGCCTAGCCGTTCTATGGATGGAGGAGTTTTGATAAAGTGCTGTTCGGCATCTTTCGAGGTTGACAACGAAAGGATATGCTGTGGGCTTGTCTAGTTCGTCTGACTGGTATTGCTAGTGAAGGGATGATAGCAGAGATGTCCGAAGAACATTTCCCGTGGAATGATGTCAAAGAGTGAGTGAGTGTGGCGTCACCCACCAGGCGAATGGCTCTTCTCTGGATGGAATCTAAGAGCATCAGCGTATGTCTTGGTGCTGAACCTCATATGTGGGAACAGTGTTCTAGAACAGGCCGTATCTGCGCTTTGTAGATCATGAGAAGCTATTGAGGTGTAAAGTAGTTTTTTGCACGAAACAAGAATCCGAGTTTTTGTGAAGCAGCTTTTGCGATGGATCTGACATGATTATCCCATGAAAGAGTGTTACTGATGGAAATACCGAGCATAGATATGGTGGGCTTGGTGGGGATGGTGGTGCCAGACATTACAATATCGGGCATACTGAAGTCCGCCTTTCTAGAGAAAATACAGGCTTGAGTTTTGGTTGCGTTGAATTCAACTAGGTTGTTGGTTCCCCAGGCTGTGATTTCAACAAGGTCTTCATTGACAGCATTGACCTGCCTGCACCGTTAGTTCTCAGTTTCCTGGGAAGAAATGGGAATTCTGGAAGAGAACGCAGTATGGAGGGTACTATCATCTGCAAAGCTGTGGATGGGGCAAGTTGTTACTCCCAACAGATCATTGATATGAAGAAGGAATAATGTTGGTGCCAAAATTGATCCTTGTGAAACGCCGGAATTGATGCCGATGGTATCAGACGATACACCGTCCACCACCACGTGAAGCGATCTGCCTGAAAGAAAACTCGATAAGAGATGGCATAGCTGAGGTGGTAAGCCGTATGATGGTAGTTTGTGGAGGAGTCCTTCGTGCCAAACACGGTCGAATGCTTTCGATATGTCCAACGCGACAGCTAGAGATTCCTCGTATTTTTCAATCAAAGCTTGCCATAAATGGGTGACGTAGGCAAGTAGATCTCCAGTAGATCTTTGGTGGATACAATATGATATTCAATAACAGCATCAATCTGGCAGATTTTCAGAGGATGCTCCTCAAGTCATAACTTATGTGACAGGAACTGCAATGTTTCTTGAGTATTCTGAGGTTTGCAGTGATCTTGCAGTGGGTCATTTATAAGCCAGATGGGTCTTACCCCAGCAAACTCCTGGAATGTTTGGGTGTTGATGAAATCGAAAAGGTCTAAAGTAATAAGTTGAATGCGTTCGGCTATGATGAAAATATTGAGTTCTCTCGTCGATATCTTGGTGCATCTATATGATATTGATGAAATGAATGCGTGAGTTATATTTGGGTTGATGAAATGTTTTGATTGAAGAATTTGGTAAATTTTGGCTGCTGATGAATGAAACGGATGCTTTGATATATTGGATAGTTGTTTTGTCCAATAGTTGGTTTTTCGATGAGTTAGATCGTAGATAATTCAGCGGTGTTATGATAGTGTCGATACAACAGCTGCTTTGATTAATTGGGTCGTTGATAATTTATAAATTATTGATGAAATTGTTAGTGTGTTTTCGGTTTAACAATGTATTGGTGAAATGGGTGATTTACTCAGTTATATATTATGATTGTTAAGACGGTGATGGAGTATACCTACATGAAGCGTAAACATATTTGTTTTCTGAACATCTACTCATTCGAATACAAATTATTTATAATTCCCATTTTACCAGAATGGAAAAATTATACTAACTTGTTTATCATATATATAAGGAATCCCATGCATATTATCAAGATATCAAGATATTCTATTTGTGATTCACATTATATCACTATAATTACCACATTGGTAAATAATTCACGATTTTATCAGTAACTTTCTTATTATTCAACTTCCAGGATCTCAATATGAAATAATAATCTATTGGAAACATTATTATCTTTCTATCTCTCTTCCCCTAGTCGATAATCAATATTATACCATCAGGAGTTTCAAATCAAACGCCATATATTATATTCGAGGAAAAATCATTATATCTACATGCATTTTTCAGAAATTGACATCTTCTTCTTTCATGAGACCTCCATTAAGCTAGCAGAATCACTTTGAATTTTGAAATTTTCTGTTCGGCCATATTTTCAGGCTGATTTATTACCCTATTTCCGAATTTATTGCTCTTCGATTTATGCAAAAAACGTGGGTTCTGCTAGCTTAACGTTAAGCTAGCAGAACCACTTCGTGAATAAAAGTTCAATCACAAAACTAATAATTATACCATAATTTCAGGAAAATTTGAGGCTCTTATCCTAGCCTACTGCCGATTTTTTCGCATATTGTTTTTAATTCATGAGTTTTACTAGATTAACCGTTAAGCTATAGCAGAACCAAATCTCAAAAGAAGGAATATAAGAATATTGAGTACGCACAATGGGCTGATATCACAAAAAAAAATTATTTCATAATTCGATAGAACTCACCCAAATTAGCTCACCACCGCAAACCGTTTCTTGCTGTGAGCTCCCTAGGTTTCATTAAAAAATATTGAAATCCCCGATTTTTCGGACCTCTGAAAACGAGGCGATGATGTGACGTCAAAACCCTAATACTGAAACAAGACTATTCCAGACAGAGATGAATGATACATGATTTCTGACAGAGTGAATTAGTGCGAGATCACAGTTGAAAGAATTAATATATCAGTTGCCTCAGTCTCCGTCGGGCGTTTGGTATTTTCTTTCAACTATGGCGAGCTGAGGTTTCTACGTCATAAGAGGGTCCGTTTTCAGAAGGTACTATCATTTATGTTCAAAAATAAAACATTCCAGTTAATTTTTCGATAGTATTATGTCGTCAATCATCATTTATGTATGAAAGGATCGTTATAAACATGGTTTGAGTTAAAAGTTTTACTAAGGTGCACACGCCCATTTAAGGCTAGTTTATTTTTTAAACAAACAACAAAAATTTGCCCAAATCCAACATGAACAGGACAATACAATAGCAAATCAAAAACGTTCGATCACCAAACGCGTTATACCATATAATTTAAGGCCAATTGAATGCTCTTATCCTAGCCTACTGCTATTTTTTTCGCACATTGTTTTTTTTAATCATAGGTTCTGCTAGCTCAACCATTAAGCGATGTGAGTATTTTTTGAGTAGACGCGTATGACGATGCGCTTCGTTTGTTATTTTGTTTGTAACAATATGAATTCGTTGCTGAGGAAATAGAAATAATTTTGAATTTCTGATTGATGGAACTACTCTATATGTATATCAACGTATATTATAAATAATACAAGGTAGCTTAAGCGTAGCTCAATTGAACGTTCTGATTTGTTTAAAATCTTTAGAAATCATACGAAGAGAATAATCGTTAGAATTCTCTTATTGATCTGATCGTAAAAAAAATAAATCAGGAACTGATTGATCAAAGGTGCAATATTTTTCGTCCCTGGATGATATTGTTTGTATATTTCCGTGCTCTGTCCACCGCCTTAATGAAAATCGTTACCAGAATATAAATCGTTATAAATTATGTTAACTCCAGCGCGTCAATGAAATAAACTTCTTCCACGGATCATTATACTGATATAGACGTTGATAACACATTCTGTCCTGCATACAAATATACAGATTACTCTTCATTCACTCATTGAGAATCACAGTATAGGAAGTGATTGATAGTATTACATCAACATCTACCTCATTTATGACGTATCTTGCAATAATTGATTACACACACTCAGATTCAATATAATATTTATTATTAAGAAATGTAATCCATTTCCTCCCGCGTGTGAAGTTTGGTGCACGATGGGTAGCGTAGGGCTAGTACCAAATTTGCCATTGAAATATTCAGAAAATGTATGCATTGTACACTCTACTTTTTGTTTGACAAGATTGAGGGAAAGAAAGCACTTCCACGTTCCGTTCTTTGTGCAAACGTTTAGGAGCTAACTCTGCCATTTGATAGATATTCTCATTTTTTCTTCCATGATCTATCAATAAAAGCGTTCATTATTATTTGAATTCATATCATTCCATTCACGACTCTGCGGCCTCCGACGCCACGCAGAGTCGTGCTGGATAAAATCCAGTGACTACTCCCCACAGCCTGTGGGGTGAATAATCACTGGGACCAAGAACCGTGTGCCCTGAGTAAACGCAATGATCCAAGTATGACGGCCTTCTGCATTCCACCAGCCAAAATGTGTGCCTTATCACTGCACGCTAGGATTTTCTGGATTTCCGAGAGCAGCGAATGTCGTGTGCCTCCTAGGAAGCCGATTATCAGGATGACCAATTCCACAAAATGGTCTGGATAGAGCCTGCGGAGTTCGAAGAGGAGTCCGTTTCTCTTCCTCTAAAACGATGTTCGGTTCGGCTGGCACCGAAAGCTCGATCACAAACATCGCTTTGGTTTGATGGTCAAGGAGGACTACATCAGGCTTGTTAGCTTGTATTTGCCTGAGGGTGGGGAATGAGAAGTTCCAATAAATTCAATGCAATCGTACGTTGCATTTATTTTTTTTCAACCCTTTACGGCCATACTACATTTTCAATGATGTTACAGCAGTGCAATCAGGTAGGAGATATCGATCTAAGTAGTAATCGGAAAATGAAATACGTTGTTAGCTCTCCGTCTGCCACATTGCATCTCAATTATTGGTAAACGGGAAGTGGGTGAAAACTTGAATAGAAAGATAGGCGGAAATGAAAATGTTGTGAAAAATACTTACGTCGTGGGGTGCTCAATTTCTCTGTAATTGAATGGGTCATAGTCACCAGCTTCGAGAGATTTGCGCAAATCTCTGAGTTCCACTGTGTAGGTGTTGTCTTTTTCCTTGGTGGTGAGGATTTCCCTCGAATTGATAGCGGCTGAAAAACTGAAACAAAGTTGTTAATGTCAGTTCACATTCCTCTTTTTGTCTGGTTATCAACTAATTTATCTATCCCATAGAGTTCTCCAAACTAAACTGAAAACCATCCAGCTGTTCTCAAAATAAATTTTGTAAAAAGTGAAAATCCTGTTTTTATCAATTTGCTTGCTTGGTATTCGATGAAAATTAACGAAATCTTGCATTCACAGGTAAAATTGACCAAGACGGAAACGGAGACAACTCATGTTCTTCTTATTGCAGGCGTCATCAAAAATATTGTTTTTTTAATATCATTGAATAAACCGATAATGTATTCACCACAGAGGAATTTATAATATATAGACATTATAACTTTTAACGACACAAAAAAAACAATAAGTTTAATAGCCCGTACAATATTGTCAAATGTATAGATAAACCTTGATAATGAGACAACAAAATATGAATCGCCATGGCTACAGTACTAATACTTTATTTTCTTATTGTCATTCAAACCATAGATACATCAAAATTATCATGAATGAAAACACAAAAAGAACAGAAAACTTGAGCATTTCGTGACGTAATCAAAGATCTTTAGAAATTCTTTCTTATCGTTATATATGATACACTAGCCAGCCCTGTGAGAAGCTGATCAAAGAAGAATACGATTTCAGTTTAATTCGACATGTATTTTAGTGAAAAATCACACGTATATGGTAATTCAGAGGAGTTCTGAAATATCTATTCAATAGAAACACCGAAAAGATGAAAAGTGATTACTTTCGTTACTGGTATTATTCAAGTTAACGCTGAAACTACACTTATTTTATGAAATTAACACCTAGATACACCCTGAACAATCGCGAATAAATCAAAACCGTGTATGAATCATGAGATTTGGGGCTAATATAATTCACTCATCGTCTAGCATTCTCCCATGTGGATGAATAATTACCCCCCTGAAAAACCTAAAGTCATTGAAGAATGGATAAAACATGTATAATGTATAGGTATATCATCATCCACGAATTCTGGTATGCAGATCGATAGGTGACAATAAGAACGGATGATTTCGTGATAATTATATATTTCAAGTTGATTCCGATGTTGATTCGTCACTTTAGATTAGATTTAGAATGGAGCCTTCGGGCTCTGAATCTGAGATGAAAAATATTATACATGGTGTTCCCCAAGGATCTGTTTTGGGGCCACTGCTTTTTATAATATACATAAATGACCTATGCTTCCATATGATGACAAAGTGTGATATTGTCCTCTTCGCGGATGATACGTCTTTTATTACTTCCAATAACGACATTTCACTCCTTCTTGAACATGCAGAATTAATAATGTCCGAAGCAGAAGAATGGTTTTCTGCAAATAATCTTCAATTGAACAGGGGAAAATCTCAAAACCTAGTTATTTCAAGTAATAACCAAATTACGGTAGGTAATCACTGTAAATTGCTCGGGGTTGTAATAGATGATTGTCTGAATTGGACACACCACATAGACAGACTTAGTACTAGGCTGTCCAGTATATTATTCTTACTCAGACAACTTAGTCGATGCCTGAACCCGAATATGTTGAGAAATATATATTTCGGTCTTTTCCATTCTTTGATTAGCTATGGTACGGTTTTATGGATTAACTCAGTTAACTCTGTAAAAATATTCAAACAACAGAAACGAGCAATAAGAATATTGACTGGAGCTGGATATAAGGAACATTGTCAACCACTCTTCAGAAAGTTAGGGACTTTACCTCTTCCTTGTATCTATATCCTACATAATACAATAGAAATTCATTCCAAAAGAATGAGCATCCCAAAAATATCTAGCCAACATCATCACAACACACGTTCCGCTACTGCTCACGGTTTACTTGTGCCACGTTACAGATTGGTAAAATCTGAAAAAAACTCCTTGAACTTCAGAATTTATAATAAATTACCTAGCCAAATTAAATCTATGAACGAGAAATGTTTCAAAATGAATGTGAAAAAAATACTTCTCAATCATTGTTTCTATTCTGTTGATGAATATATTCAAACATCTCTTTTTTGACCCCACCTTGTCATTCGCTTTCTTCGATTTATTCTTGCTTTGATTTCAGTTACCTACTATACATATTGTTTGTACTATACATGTCTATAATTAGTATGTCTGATCTGTATTTTTTATACATTTATTTATATTTATATACTGTATATTATTTGTTATGTTCTACTGACTTGCTATAAACCATATTCTGTATGTGTCACATAGCCAATAAACTATCTATCTATCTATCTATCTATCTGCCTCCGCACCGCGACCTTTTCAGATATAGATGGCGACACTATCGTTCCTTCGTCGCTCGTCTCTCGACAGCCTTCACATAGTATCAGCTCAGAGATGTTATGTTTAGTCTCAACTCTCACTACAATGGATCATTTCATACACTGAATACTAATGTTAGTGTATCAGAGTCGTGTTATTCAACAGTCAGATACAGACAAGAAAGCACCGCTTCTCAGCGTGATAACACTCAATAAGTGTGTTTTCACAACAGAGAAATATCCGAAAATTATTCGCATATCATATAATATCATCACTAAAAGCAAAAACGCAACTGATACAGTGTCAAAATAATCACCAAAGGATTGTATAGTACACCACTTTGGTGTTGAATAATACGAACCGATCGAATTGGGACTAGCTACTCTAGAGTAGTTTTTGAATGTATATAAGAACGAATGACACCCTACGATGGTGTTTTAACACTCAAGGGTGTTAGCTGGTGTGAACTGGTGCTATTTTTTTCTAACTGTGCATAATTATTTTATGCCAAACTGACAGACATTGCTTCGCTATCTCTAGTTACATCCAGACTTTGCTTCGCCATCCATGATTACATCGTTGAAATCATCAACGCTGATAGACCAATCAGATTGAAAGACAGCTGATGTTTTCGTGATAAGCAAACGTTGTCTCTGGCTTGTGATTGGTCAGATCATGAAATCACTGAAATAGTCAAAGTCACTTATATCAAATCACATAAACCATGCCATAGTGAGATTAAAATTAATGAATCAGAGATATTTAACAGATTTCATCATCGTTGCCTGCCGTAAGTATTCAAATATTTAATATGAAATTCCATTGTGATTTTATTTAATTTTCTAGATACTTATGTGAATGAAAACAATTATTTTATTGGTAAATATTTGCAATACTGAATTGCACAACTCCATAAGTTTAATTCTGAATATACTTGGCAGATGATCAGATTCCTACGAAATGAATATTTTTATTATTGGAGGCGCCGATTTCTATACGGAGAATAACATAGTTTATTTTTAAAAATTGAGTTCGTTATTGAAACGGTTTTATTCGAGTGAAAGAATCCTGCAATACTAGGAATAGGTATTTTTTTATATAGATGTATGTACATCGCTAATTTTAGGACATTTGTGATAATGTCGTCGAGAAAGCTACAGATAGGTGAATAAAAAAGTTATTTTTATATCTAGTGCGCGATTTCTCTACAAACATCATAAAATATTCATTATTCCAGATTTTTTGGAATTTTCTCTCCTCGTTTCTATAAAATAAAAATATGAATATTATTTCAATATACGTGTAGTAAGGACAAATCAAATGTTTCGCCCCAAAATGTCACTGCGTTCTCCAGGAAATTCCTCTACAATGGATATTTTGGCGATTTGAAAATAAATTGATCCACTGATTCAAGAGAGCACTTCAATTCAACAAACGCTGTACATTACAAAGGTAACGTACAAACCTTATCTGTGATATAATATTGAATTGAGCTTTCGATTTTTTCATGTTCTGGTTCCGACGAAAAGGGATATCCTGTAATGTTCAGAGAACATCAAGTGAACCAAGGGGAATTAGGTAGGAATTGGTGTTCTTCTTAAATTTCTGGAGGTTATATGCCTCAGGGAACACCTCCCTTGGCAATGTGTTCCAGAGCCTCGCTGTTCGTTGGATGAACGAGTCTTTGGAAAGAGATGTTTTGCAGGTCTCCAAAGTGACCACGAAGGAGTGCGATGCCTCGACTCGACGGGTTAATCTCACGGGGACTGCCAAGGGAGGAACAATTGTTGATACTCCAGGAGAGCATCGTCCATGAAAATATCTATAAAATAGAGCCAGATCGACAACTTTTCTACGGTGTTCCAGAAAAGTGAGTGAGTTTGTGAGCGAGGCATCACCCACGAGACGAATTGCCCTTTTTTGGATAGAATCCAACAGTTTCAGGGTATGTTTGGGAGCTGTACTCCAAAGATGGGAACAGTACTCCAGGACAGGTCTGATCTGTGCCTCATAGATCATAAGCAGCTGGCTGGAAGTGAAATAGCTCCTGGCCCGAAACAGGAAACCAAGTTTTTTGGATGCACTTCTAGCAATTGATCTCACGTGATTTTCCCAAGAAAGGTTATTGCTGATAGTAATAACAAGCATCGAAATGGAGATTTCAATAATAGATTAATATATAGGGTTGATGAACATCGATTATTCAATGAAAATAATCTCTTTTATTATAACACCAGATAGTTCAGGAAAGAAATTAATAATATTTTTTCCTCCTGAAGGTCATTTTATAAATAGATGAATGAATGGTGAATCCTAGATAATAACGCAGACTAATAATACTGATCTACTCTTATCAACTTATGCATGCAAACATAATTTTCGCCATTCTGTGAAAACAATATATAATGACAGATAGGTATAAGTATTGGTAAACGTACCGTGAATACCTCATGTAGAAAAATGGATGTCACATGTTTTTGTGATTATAGCAATATCGTTAATATGACAATATCACAATGCAGAGAAATAGATTTTATTCTTTAGATCAAATTTCAGGTATACAATTCATAGTGTATGAACTTCGTGTTCGTATTTGGTATTTTGGAATTATAACTTTTCATTGTAGAAGGCTATATTGATTTTTGGGAACTTTGCCACCCTGTACCTCAAAAGTTAGGACGTTTAGGCTCGCGTTTAGGTCATACGTTTATATGAAACTTCCTTCTTGACCTGTATATCAAACATAGGAGTCCAAATGAAAATGGGAAGTCAGAGAATTCTCAGAGGAATCTGGGAATTCTTTGGGAAGTCTGGGAATTCCTTGGAAAGTCTGGGAATTCCTTGGGCAGTCCGGGAATTCCTTGTACACGGAGTCCAGGAATTCCTTGGTAAGTCCAGAAATTCCTTGGGAAGTCCGGGAATTCCTTGGGTAGTCCAGGTAGTCTTTGGGAATTCTGGGTATTCTTTAGGAAGTCCGGGCATTCTTTGTGTAGTCCCAGGAATTCCGGGAATTCTTTCACCAAAGGAAGTCTAGTGTACCGGAAATTGGCCCGTGATTTACCCCTCGACTGGTTTCATATGTGATATATATCCGGTAAAAAATAACTCCCCGTGGAAAGCAGTAACTTATATAAAGTGACATTTTATAACTTGTCGACAGATCGAGATGAGATTTCCAACTTTTTTTCCGTCACAAAAAATAGTTGTTTAACTAGGCAGAAGAGTACAATATTTGATGCCGCAGCTAGCGTTCCATAGCCTAGGCGTATCCGAGGCTAGGAAACCAGCCACGGCATTACATCTTCTTTTCTGCCATGTGAAACTTGTAATTTTATTTTCAATTTTTTTTTTTCAATTTCACGCAAAGTACAAATAATCCATCATTTTTTGTTCACCCAAAGTCATTGTCAATTTTGATTACCAATTTGATCCAAACTACTAGGAACTTCTTCTGCCTAGGCAATAAAAGTATAGGGTGATCCACCATAAATGTCCCCCCCTCTAGCTCAGTTATTTCTTAACCAATTCCAAAATTTCAAATATCATCTTGAATGATCTTCGATAAAGTTTATTTCCGCTACATCAGAAAATACAGGGTGCTCGGAACAAACGATCTACAGGGTACTATTTCATTTTTTCAGATGGAACACCCTATTTTTCATTGTATTTTCAAATTCTCCTTGAAGAGCTGATTCAATCAATGCAACACACTTGGGGTCTAGCGGAAATAATTGCAGAGATACAGGGTGTTGAAAATCGAGATTTTTCAACTTTTAGATTTTTTTGTGACGAAAATATTCATTATCGGTCAAAACGGCTCTCATGTCCGTATCCTAACTTCTGATTTACTATCTACTGACATTCAATAATCGGAACAGATACAGGGTGATCAGAATTCTGAATCTAGAACCACCCTGTAAATGTCCCATTTAAATATCAGTAGATAGTGAATCAAAAGTTGAGATAGAGACATAGAAGCCATTTTGACCGATAATGAATAGTTTCGACACAAAAGAATCCTATAGTTGGAAAATCTCGATTTTGAACACCTTATATCTCTGTAATCGTTTCCGCTAGACTCCAATGGTGAAACATTGATGAAATCAGCTCTTCATGGACAATCTGAAAATACAATGAAATACAGAATGTTCCATTCGAAAAAATCAAGTAGCTGTAGATTGTTTGTTCCGAGAACCCCGTATTTTCTGATGCAACGGGAAAAAAATATCTGAAAAATCATTCTAGATGATTTTTCAAATTTTAAAATTTGTTAAAAAATAAGTAAGTAGAGGGGGGACATTTATGATGAATCACCCGGTACACATTTTCTGCCTGTTGAGTGTCATTGAAAAGTCACTTTCAATGTCATTTGGAGAAAAAAAACATTGATTCGTTTCCATCCATTACATCTGATATTACATGTCTGATAGTTTCAAATGAAACTGAGTGACATTTGCCAATAGATATAAGGAGCTCCATTTTTGAGAGAGAAATTATCACTCAATAATTCTATTAAGTTAATAGGTACTGGCAAAATAATTGCGAGTATCTCACTCATCACATAACTGACCAATCACAAGCCAGAGACATGATATCGTGAAAACACTAGCTGTCTTTCAATTTCGATTGGTCTATCAGCGTTGGTGTTTTCAACGATGTAACATTGGAAACAGCGAAGTAAAGTCTGTCAGTTTGGCGAAAAATAAGGCAAAACTGCATTTATCATGCAATGGATTTTTGTTCGAAAAATTTTTTTAGTACTTACGTATTTTTGTCTGGAAATCACGAATTCGATGATCAAAATGTGAACAAACCATTATTTATCAAGATATTTCAATATAAAGTTACGAATTTCACCTTCCTTTCCGCCTGTCTTCTGGATCACATTTAGAACAATTTACCCTTCTTTTTTCATCATTGGACAATTTATAGATATCACAATGTATGACACATTTTTTTCTATTATATGAGTCAACTAGAAATATGATTTTCTCGTGATTTATCCATATTTAGTGAAAAGAATGAAGAATATCATTTAAAATAATGGCGTGTGTAATGTCATTCAAAAGCAATCTGTTGACATTTGACATCTCGTATTTGGATTGACTATTGTTAAATGGCCGTCATTTGGTAAGCTTGTTCAGTTAATATGAAAAACTCGCCATAAAAATCATATTTCCTATTGAATATTCTACATGAAAATGTGTCATTGAAGTACATCATGAATATACAGTGTCATTCATAAAGTCGGCATCATATGGGAAAAACTTTTATTAATGACTTATTTTGAAATTCGAGTTGGACGTCAAGTTTTGCTTCAAAAAATAAGAAAAATGGCCTACTCAATCGGGGTCACGTGAGTTTCGCTACATGTCAGAAGTGACATTTTTTCAAATTAATCGCTGAAAGTAGGCTTATTTGTTCGAATATCAAAAAAGTTTTCTTGACAAAGTTGTTTCTATTTGAATTTTACATATTGACTCGGATTTCATCTTCCTATTACATTTTTTAGATTTAGATATTTTTTAAAAATTTTATTATTCATTAAAAAAATTGTAAATTCGATAAAACTACTTCATACCAGTCGCTTCATCATGTTACTAATTTTCAATTACTAATTATCACTAATTATCGACGAATATATGATTTTCTTCAGAAAATGATAATCTCCTCTTCAAAATTCTGTTATGTTTGAGTCAAGCATTCAGAAACGAAATTCATTCAAATTTATTTTTTCAGTACTGAAAAGATCAGTTTAAATGAATTCCGTTTCTAAATGCTTGACGATATATCAACTTTACATCAAACATAACAGAATTTGGAAGCGGGTATTATCATTTTCTGAAGAAAATCATATTTCTGTCCATAATCAGTGATAATAAGTAATTGAAAGTAAGTAGCATGAAAAAGCTACTGGTATGAAGTAGTTTCGTAGAATAAACAATTCTTCAAAAAATATTACATAAATTTCGAAAAATTTAAAAAAAAATCAAAATCTAAAAATTGCAATAGGAAGATCAAATTCGGGAAACATGTGTAAAATTGAAATAGAAACAACCTTTTCAAGTAAACTTTTTCGATATTCGAACAAATAAGCCTACTTTCAGCGATTGATTTGAAAAAATGTCACTTTTGAAATGTAGCGAGTCACGTGACCCCGATTGAGTAGGCCATTTTTGAAGCAAAACTTAACGTCCAACTCGAATTCCAAAATAAGTCAATAATAAAAGTTTTTCCCATATGATGCCGACTTTATGAATGACAATGTAAAAAGTGTCCAATGACAAAATAAGAAGAAGCTGTAAATGCTTCATGCCCCCAACACAAGGAGAGAAAGAAGGCGAAATTTCGAACTTTTGATATGATATGATAAATGAAGTTTTACCCATCATTTGTATGCTTCGTGAGCGTGAAAGAGTCTATCTAAATACCACTTTGTTCTGAATCATAATTCTGTCTCAATTTGTTAACTAAATTGTCGTAAAATATGAAGCGACAGAATCATCTCGAATATTCAGAACATCGTGATATCACTTATGATCATCTCCGGTAGCTATAAGCAACGCAAAGAGACAGGACCCTCCTAATTGGTTGAAAATAAATCTATGAACTTTTCAATATGACCAATGATTGCGTCACGTAAGTCCACGTTTCAGAAGCGGGAAAAACGGATCGAAAGCTCACCTGTTGTAGCTATCCGACCTGCCATCTTCAGTAAATCCATGATTTTTGTGTCCACTCATAATTTGTTCTAAAATTGTGTCCACATTCACTCCTGAAAACCTCCTGAGATCCTGCTATCACGTCAACACCGCGGAAGGAGATACCGACACTTTGATCTAGATCAAGTCGACTGACGGAACTGAACAGTTACGAAACGCAGTGTCCACAATTCGCAAAGATGTATTATTAGATTTTTTCCGTCGTCCTTAGTCCTACAGCCGGTGTAGGTGCTAGGTATTGCACGAAAAGCAATCAGTTTATTTTATACACAGGGTCCCCCACTCGCAGACGATGTAGATACGATTGTATCGGCGCTTTTTGCTGGTTTCAAGTGTGTTCACTTTTTCAGATGATCTTGTTTTTATTCAAAAACAGATTTGGGATATATTAACGATTTTGAACGTTGTACGAGGCGATTGATTGGTTTGATAGCTAATGAACAGGAACGAAGAAAAACAAGAGTCAGATAAAAAATGACTACCTACTAAACCAATGCGATGAATCGGCCTTATTTCAGAATTTTCGTATTTGTAGGTACACTGCTGCCCAAATAAATCGTAACGGCTCTTGAGCTATGTTGGTATATATTGTTTCATCCTTTAGGTACGATATCGATCTACGCAAGGGTACATTTTATGACTTGATTCAAGTATTTTGGGTGCACTCAATTAGGTATTGGTTTCAAGATGATCAATCCTTTTTGATATAGATTATGATGCTGTGTACTGTGTAATAAAAGAAAATAGATATAATAGTCCGTGGGCATTCATTTTTTTCTTCTATGTTCTGGTTCCCACGAAAAGGGATATCCTGTAATGTTCAGAGAACATCATGAGAACCAAGGGAAATGTGTTCTTCTTAAATTTCTGGAGGTTGAGGCCTCGGGGATCACCTTCCTTGGCAATATGTTCCAGGGCCTCGCTGTTCGTTGGATGAACGAGTCTTTGAAAAGAGATGTCCTGCAGGTCTCCAAAGTGACCACGAAGGGGTGCGAAGCCTCAACTCGACGGGTTAATCTCGCGGAGACTGCCAAGGGAGGACCAATTGTTGATATTTCAGAAGAGTATGATCTATGAAATTATCTATAAAAAAGAGCCAAATCGACAACTTTTCTATGGTGTTCCATAGAAGTGAGTGAGTTTGTGAGCGAGGCATCACCCACGAGACGAGTTGCCCGTTTTTGGACAGAATCCAACAGTTTCAGGGTATGTTTTTGTTCTGCACTCTAAATATGGTAACAGTATTCCAGGATAAATCGGATCTGTGCCTTATAGATCATAAGCAGCTGACTGGGAGCGAAATAGCTCCTGGTCCGAAACAGAAAACCAAGTTTTTGGGAATGCACTTTTAGCAATTGATCTCACGTGATTTTCCCAAGAAAGGTTATTGCTGATAGGAATACGAAGCATCGAAAAGGATGTCTTCAAGGTATGGTTACTCCTGACAAGCTTATGTTGGGCACCAGTGAGATTGGCTTTTCTAGAGAAAAGACATGCATTGAAATCTACCAAGTTATTGGATCCCCATTCTAGAATTGTTGCCAAGTCCATATTTATGTTGTTAACATTCCTCCCTCGATCGTTTCTGATTTGCCTAGCTGGTATTGGAGCCCTGAAAGAGAAGCATTTTATGACCTGATTCAAGTGTTTTGGGTGCATTCAATTAGCGAGAACTTGAGCTGAATTATGGTATTGGTTTCAAGATTATCAATTCTTATTGATATTGATTATGATGCTGTGTGCTGTGTTATTAAGATAGATATAATAGTTCGAAGACATGAACAGATATTTCGAGGAAATCATGAGTCGTTACGAATTATTTGGGCCGCAGTGTACGTAGGTTACCTACGTATGTTGATCCAAAGAATTGTAAAAATTTTGCGAGGAATTTTGTTTCGAGATCCTAAATTTTTGAGCGTTTGTCAGAATTCACGTATTTTTGAGATCTCAAGTGTTTTCACTTTTTCTGATGATATTGTTTTTTGTTTTTATTCAAATACAGATTTGGGACATATTACTGGTTTTGGACGTTCTATGAGGCTATTGATTGTTTGTGATAGCTTATGAGCAGGAACAGAAAATAAACTAGATTCAATTATTGATATATGGGAAAAAATGACTATACCTACTAAACCAATGCGATGGATCGGCCTTATTTTAGAATTTTGGTATTTATAGGTATATGTAAAGAATTGTGAAAATTTTGTGAGATATTTTAGTTTGTTCCCAATTTTTCAAGCGTCTGTCAGAATTCACGTATTTTTGAAAGTAGTGTACAGGGTGTTTCATTGGGTAACAAAATATGTCAAGAATAGATAGACGATATCGAGGTGATTCGAAATGAAGGTACTATCCCAAGGGTGTTTGCTTTTTCTGTTGATCTTGTTATTATTCAAATACAGATTCGAAAAATATGAACGATTTTGAACGTTGTACGAAGAGATAGTTTGTTTTTGATAGCTAATGAACAGAGAGGAATACCACGAACAGATCTGCTCAAAAATGGAGAAGATAACCTTGAGATATCAGAAGAAGATGGAGGAAAATAGATCTAATCTGGTCGCAGTGCATTCACCACCACCCACACCTAACAATACCAACACCAATATATGTTTTGTGTATCGAAATTACCTAATATATCTTATTCTGAGACGATATACTCTCTACTGCATTTTGTGGGAAATAGTTATTTTTTTATCATTTCCTGGAATAAATATGATTTGGATTGATGAAGATATCTTTAATGAAGATTTGTATTCACCGAAAAACAATGTGACCTGTCATATATCTAACTCACCCTTGCTCTTGTTTCTGAACGCCAAGTAATTTAAGTCGATGTCATGAATGACGGTCATCTTCATGAATATGATTACCTATTCTGTAGTAATAGACAAGTTTGTTATTTTCATTTTTTTTTCAAATTCTCACCTCACGAATACGTTTTCTTCAGGTTATTTCATTCTCAAGAATCTCTCCTGATGATGCCGATAACGTTCGAAATTTGATTCTAACGAATGTTACATTTGCGGTATATATAGTCTTCGTCAGTTCGTCATATAATTTGAATATCATGAACCTTTTCTTGGCAATACTAAATGAGTAACCATGATTCGAATATGGTTCAAGACTGACAATGTAACTTCCTTGTTACCCACACTGAAATATGAAACATTGTTCACCTTGTTCTCATCATAAATAATTAAATTGTTGACGATATATTTTTCCGAGTACCTACTAAATATTTTTGTTGCATTTATGCATTAACCAAATTGTCGTATTACTACCTCTATAATTTGAATTCTTGACATTCTTGTGGACCTTGGCAGTTGGAACATGCATGTACTAATTCAACGCACAATAGAATAATAAGCCAGTGTAAGAAAACCACTACTGTAAACAGGGTGATTTTCAAGTACTAGCAGGCATTATCATGATATCATGTTCATGTAAAAATTGATATTTATCTAAAATTCGATATTTTTTTTATGTTCTGGTTCCCACGAAATATGGGAACAGTATTCCAGGACAGCTCGGATCTGTGCCTTATAGATCATAAGCAGCTGACTGGAAGTGAAATAGCTCCTGGCCCGAAACAAAAAACCAAGTTTTTGAGATGCACTTTTAGCAATTGATCTCACGTGATTTTCCCAGAAAAGGTTATTGCTGATAGTATTACCAAGCATCGAAATGGATGTCTTCAAAGGTATGGTTACTCCTGACATGCTTATGTTTGGCACAGTGAGATCGGCTTTTCTAGACAAAAGACATGCTTGTGTTTTGTTCTTTACCTTTTCAACTTCAATTTCGGAATCGGTGAGTTATATTTCGGAAAAAGTAATCTCGATTTCAGAATTGGTTAGTTCGATTTCAGAAATGGTAAACTCAATTTAAGAATCGGTGAGATGAATTTCAGAAAAAGTCCATTCAATTTCAGAAATGGTAAGTTGTATTTCAGAATTATTATTGGTAGGTTCAATTCCAGAAGATGAAATCCTTTTATATGTTTGAAATGTTTTTAATTGCAAAAGAGAAGACTGTTTACAGTGGATGGAACGGTGTTCGAGAGCGCTATGTACATAATATATGGGGTGCCTTCAAGTAAGTGAAGAGCTTCTTGCAAGAGCATCGCCAAAGGGTCATAGCTGGAGATCCGAACAGATTGCTCAACCAGATAGAATTCAGACTGCGATGTCTTGAAGAATGTGCAGATCATTCAATGAACATGATAACACCTCAAATGTGTTTGTATTCTTATAATCATGTGCAACGCCACTATCTTCCAGCGATTCAGATGGAAGGCATCTGTGGATTAAATTGTTTTTGAGAAGTTGAATATTTTAAATATGGTTTGTTAATCTCACATGCAATTGGGAACATTTCGAACAAATATAAGGATTTTTTTTATGATATTGAACCTATCAATTCTGAAATACAACTTACCATTTCTGAAATTGAATGGATTTTTTCTGAAATTCATCTCACCGATTCTGAAATTGAGTTTACCATTTCTGAAATCGAACTAACCAATTCTGAAATCGAGATTACTTTTTCCGAAATATAACTTACCGATTCCGAAATTGAAGTTGAAAAGGTATAGAATTGTTGCCAAGTCCATATTTATGTTGTCATCATTTCTCCCTCGTTAATTCTTTTCTGATTTGCCTGGCTGGTATTGGAGCCCTGGAAGAGAAGGCGGTACTATTATCCACGAAGCAGTGTACTGGACATGAAGTTGCTTTCAACAAATCGTTGATATGGAGTAGAAATAGTGTTGGTGCTATAATTGATCCATGCGGAATATCGGCATTTATGATAAGAGAGTCAGATGAAAATCCGTCGACCACTACATGGAGAGACCTATTTGAGAGAAAACCAGCTAGCATGACATGACTTCGAAAATGACAAAAGTGTACGGACCTTTTCGAATGTGATCAACAGAACAATGCAACATTGTCCTTATCGATAGTTTTTTCCAGTTTTTTGTGTTAATAGCCTTGGTCCTAGGTGATTGTTTTATCAAAACATTTATCAAATGATCAGTGCAGTGAAATTCAAATCCAGCAGGAA